TCTCGAGTGATGGGATTGCAGGCATATGCCATCTCACCTACTCCATGCAGTGACCCAGGGTTTCATGTAAACTAGGCAGGCACTGCCAGCTGATCAGCCCCATTCTCTAATTCTTAATTTCATTTCTTGTTGCCCGGCCAGGCTGCATAACTATATCCAAATACAGTAAAAATCTCATGCTGCTTTCCGTGCTGTTGTCTAAATCTCTGTCCTGTAACACTTACAGTGGTTGTTTTTTTTTAAAGATTTATTTAGTCATATATTTCATGTATATGAGTGTTCTGTCTTCACGCTCACCAGAAGGAATCTGATCCACTTACAGATGGTTGTGAGCCACCACGTGGGTGCTGGGAATTGAACTCAGGACCTCTGGAAGAGCAGCCAGTGCTCTTAACCTCTGAGCCACCTCTCCAGTCCTAGTGGTTGATCTTATGAAGGAGTTATTTGCATTCCTTTTTTCCTTTCATGTCTTTCAGATGTGACGAGGAAGTCAGAAACCAAGGAGTCAGTTGCAGAGGATGAGATTGCCCTAAAGTTCTGTCATGGCATCATAACAGAAAGGTTCATAGAGGATGATACCATTCATTCGACATTGAGAAAAGCCTCCAGCTACGATGGTACACTAAAAGGGAACCGGGAAACCCGTAGGAAAGGTGAGAGGCGAGCCATTTTGACCCACAAAAAGGGACACCAAGAAGCGAATAAATTTGGGGAAAACTTTGAGAGTGCCAATGTTATTTTAGAACAGAAACGCCATAAATACAACCCAGCTAGGCGGAGGAACAAATATAAGTTAGATTCGACTAGCGATCCAATGAGCTGTGTAGGAGCCAGAATGTATGGATGTAATATATGTGAAAAAATGTTCAAACAACCCATTCACCTTACAGAGCACATGAGAATTCACACTGGTGAGAAGCCCTTCAGATGTAAGGAATGTGGAAGGGCCTTTAGTCAGAGCGCATCCCTTAATACCCACCAGCGAATCCACACTGGTGAGAAGCCCTTCACGTGTGAGGAGTGTGGCAAAGCCTTCCGCCATCGCTCATCGCTCAACCAGCATCATAGAACTCACACTGGAGAGAAACCATTCGTCTGTGAGAAATGTCAGAAAGCCTTCAGCCAGAACATCAGCCTGGTCCAACACTTGAGGACGCATTCTGGAGAGAAACCCTTCAGCTGCAACGAATGTGGGAAAACTTTCCGACAGATTAGGCACCTTAGTGAGCACGTAAGAATTCACACTGGGGAGAAGCCCTATGCATGCACTTCGTGCTGTAAAACATTCAGTCATAGAGCGTATCTCACACATCACCAGCGCATCCACACTGGGGAGAGGCCCTACAAATGTAAGGAATGTGGGAAAGCCTTTAGGCAGAGGATACATCTTAGCAACCATAAAACTGTTCACACAGGAGTGAAAGCCTATGAGTGTAACCGTTGTGGGAAAGCCTACAGGCACGATTCATCCTTTAAGAAACACCAGAGGCACCACACTGGAGAGAAGCCTTACGAATGTAGTGAGTGTGGAAAGTCCTTTAGCTATAATTCGTCGCTAAGCCGACACCATAAAATCCACAAGAGGAACTCTCTTCGAGAAGATGTCTCAAACAGTGATACAGGACATGAGAACAGAAGGCAGCTCTGAACTGGTGATGGTAAGCTTTAAAATCTCAGGACTCAAATGTAAGAAAATGATAATGACAGTGGCAACTTTTGATTTTGCCAATAGCATAAATAAACACTACATTGATGACTACTACTGTCAGACATGCAAAATGATAAATTCAAGCATTATGAAAAATTAAGAATTATTTTTTCTCATTTCATGATTGAGTAATAAAATATTTTGTTATGGACCAATTGATTTACAGATTAGTATTTGGGAACTATTGTTTAAAATGTTACTACCTGGGCTGGGGAGGTGGCTCAGCAGGTAAAGGCACTTGCCACTAAGCTTGGTAGCCTACCTGATTTTGATCCTTGGGATCCACGTGGTGGAGAGACTGGCCTCCACGAGCTGCCCTCTGGTCTCCACGTGTGCTATGGAGTGCTATGGCGCACACTGATGTTCAAACAGCGCTCACATCCTTGTACTCCGGTCACAGTTTCGCACATCCTTTCTCCAAGATTCTTACACCAGCTTTTTAAACACCTGTGCCCTTCTGAAGAACTAATTTATTGATTTTCCATGCTGAATTAAGTCTAGGGCATCAGGCATGATTGGCAAGTGCCACTATTAAGCAATACCAACTTTTTTTTTTGTCTTTTTTGAGACAGTCTCCCCGCCCCCCCAGGCTGGCCCCAAGAATGATCTTGAACTTGCCTCGTCTCTCAAGGTCAGAGATTACAAATGTGGGCCACCACACCTTGTTTATGCGGTGCTGGGTACTAAGTTCACAGCTTTGTGTATGCTTGACAATCACGCTGCCAGCTAAGCTACATCCTCAGGCCTTTACCTCTTTTTTTTTTTTCTTTTCTTTTTTAGTTTTGGAACTGGACTCACTAAGTTACCCAGGCTGACCCTGAACTCATAATGCTGCTACCTCAGCGTTCTCAGTAGTGGAGATTACTGACTTCTGCCCCTTGAGACTCAACTCAAGCACCTGCTGAGTATAGCCAGTTCTCTCCAGGTGGTATTTTGTTTGCAGTTTCCTTTTTCTGCCCATGTTTGGCATCCCTTCGTCCTTCCACAGAACACAGAATGATATAATACACTATATACACATATATGTATATGTGTGTGTATATATATCTCAAACCTGTGTTTCTGGTGAACCCTTGAATTCTTGACTGAATTTACTAAATGAACCAAAAAGCCAGACCTTAACCTTTAGGATTTTAGACTCAAGTCTAAAATCCCAGTGCTCAGATTTTAGATATGGGTCACCATGGGCTGGAAAGTATTTCTCAAAAATAGAAACAACTGGAGCTGGAGGGATGGCTCAGAGGTTAAGAGCACTAGCTGCTCTTGCAGAGAGGATCAGGGTTGGTTTCCACACGTCCATGTGGCTCTCAGACCTCTAACTCGAGTTCCAGGAGATTCGACCCCTCTTCTGGCTTCTAAGGGGCGCCAGGCAGCCACGTGGTGCAGATACCTGCTGGCAAAATATCCATACACATAAAGATAAGCACTTTAAAAAATCTTAAAGAATCTGGGCATGCTTGTAATCCCAGCACTGAAAGAGCAGAGGCAGGAGTATCCCAATTGGAGGCCAATAAAAGGGATAAAAGAAGAAAAAAAAAAAAAAAAGGCACGGACAACAGGAGCGCTAACGTCTTTGAAGTTTGAGTTCGTAATGGTTCCTTAAACTGGGAAAGCTGGTGCCAGATGCTAAGATCCGGATTCGGGTCCAAGGGTGTCAAAAGTCAGTATCACTGGGGACAGCGAGGTGACCGCCGCTTCCTCTCTTCGGGCTGGCGGTCGTAAGAGACGGAACAGTGACAGAGCTTTCCGGGCTAAAAGACATTAGATACTGCAGAGGACACAAGTGCAGCCGGCTTTAGAAGCAGCGCAGCCCTAGTCTCGCGACATCGGGGGGTGGGGCCATAGCTCCGGAAAGGACCGCCGCCAGGAATTCTGGGACGGTGGTCAAGCCGGTGGGTATGGTCCCTTGTACGAGGCTTCTGGGCTTTGTATATTTAACCTGGCTCAATCCGATCCCTGACGTGTGGGCTCAGTACATTGAGGGTGCGTGTGGCTCACCCGGGGGACAGGGACTCGGGGGCTGAGTGGAAAGCACACGTCTGCCTGCGTGGAAGGCCCGGGACGAGTCAGGACGCGGAGGATAAAGGCAGTGGCAGGCGGCCGGCACCCATCAGCGAGGCAGGGCCTCCGACCTCGGGCTGCCGCTGGGACTGAGCGCCAAGTGCAGGCACTGCGGCAGGTGGCCGCTCTGGGGAATGGGAAGTTACGGAGACCTTGCCCTGGAGAGGCCAGTGCGAGGAGTTATGGTAGGCAGCTGACCCTGCAATGTCACTCAAGTAGAAACACCGTAAGATGAGGGCGTGGTCAGGCGCGTCTTCCTCACTTTGCCATTTTAATGCACGCCCTTCCCTGAGGAGGGAAAACAACCAAGGCCCAGGTGAGTATGAGCTCCTAGTCTCCTAAAGTTACTGTTTTTCAGAGCGAACAGATACATAGACTCATCACTGCCTTTGAAAGAGGAAGGAAAGCCACGTTTATGTGCACTGTTTTAGCAGACTAGATGTAGAAGGATTAGCCTACCAATTCTATATTCTAAAGATGTGCCGGTAGCATCAGAATTTTATTTAACGCATACTAGGAGATTCTACTGGATTTTTCAGGATTAGTTTCAAAATCTGTGGACTCTTGATACTGACCTGGTGTTTTCTGAACATCTCATTCATTTTCACATAATAATTTCTAGCTATGCCTATACACTTTTTAAACATGTATGTTCACATATATTAAATATTTAATATAGATATTAATAAATATTTATTAGTTTTGCTTTTTTCTAGACAGGGTTTCTTTGTAACAACACGATCTAGAACTCACTGTTGTAAACCAGGCTGGCCTCAAACTCAGATCCACCTGCCTCTGCCTTCCTGGGATTAAAGACATGTGCCACCACCATCTGGGTCATAGTAGGCCTTTTTCATCATAAGATAATTTCTTACTGAGAGAGGAAGAAAATTAGTGGCAAGCTCTAGTGTGGCTAACACCAGTTTGTATAAAGAAGAAGGTCATAAGGGTAATTTGTGTGTATGTGTTGTTTTCTTTTCTTTTTCTTTTTTTGCTATTGTTCTGAGATATTGTCTAATGTAGCCCAAGCAGGACTCAAACACAACTCGGCTATGTAGTTATGAGACCTTCTCCTTCCATCTCCCAAGTGCAGGGAATACAGGCATGCCCTGCCTCTCATGGCCAGTAAGGGTAAGTTAAAATTCACTAAGAGCTTTTTCTCATCTTAATATGTCTCAAGAGCTATAGTCATTAAAGATAGTGAAATAATAAACCAAATCTGTAGAGTTTTGAAGTAAAATAGGCAAACCTCAGTGAAATCGAGGCTAAGAAAAATAAGATTTGCCTAAATTCATCCACAATATGTTAGTGGCAGATCCATGAATCAAACAAAAATAGTTCTACTCTCAAGATGGTTCTGCTGTCGGTGGCAGATCACTTAGTTAACTTGTGCAGTGTCCAGAATTCTATCTGTAGAAGTGAAAACAAAAAATCGACGTGGGTGGCGGAACATGAATACAAAAACTCATCTTATAAAGTGTCCTTGTGTTTACTAATGAGTCATAAGTAAATTGGCGTCTTAGGGCTGGGGATGCAGTTTAGGAGTACAGCACTTGTATAGCACACGTAAGGCCCTGGATTCAGTTCCCAGTACTGAAATGAATGGGTAAATCAGTCAACCAATATCATGATTCTTCTAGTCTCGTAGGAATGTGTAAGTCTTTGACGATGGTTGGTGCGTTATGTAGGTCCCTCCTTGTTCAGTCTAGAACTGTACCATGGCTGAGACTGGGGAAGAGGAGACAGCGTCGGCAGAAGCATCAGGGTTCTCAGACTTGAGTGACTCGGAGTTGGTGGAGTTTCTGGACCTGGAAGATGCCAAGGAATCAAAGGTTCCACTTAGCAAGCCTGGTCCTTCTTCTGAACACCCTGGAAAGGATGACAAACCTGTAAGCTTGCAGACCGGAAAAAATGGACTGGATGTCTTGTCACCCATGGAGAGATTCCAGCTGAAATACTTATATGTCACAGACCTGTGTGCTCAGAACTGGTGTGAATTGCAGGTGGTGTACGGAAAGGAACTTCCTGCTTTCTCGACACCTGAGAAGGCAGCTGTTTTGGACACTGGTGCTAGCATCCACCTAGCAAAAGAGCTAGAACTTCATGATCTTGTGACTATCCCCATCACCACTAAAGAAGATGCTTGGGCAGTCAAGTTTCTGAACATACTCTCCATGGTTCCTACCCTCCAGTCAGAAGGGCGCATCAGAGAGTTTCCTGTGTTTGGGGAAGTGGAAGGAGTATTTCTTGTTGGAGTGATTGATGAGTTGCACTACACAGCCAAGGGGGAACTGGAGCTCACCGAACTCAAGACGCGAAGACGCCCAGTGCTCCCTCTGCCAGCTCAGAAAAAGAAAGACTATTTTCAAGTTAGCTTATACAAATATATCTTTGATGCCATGGTTCAAGGAAAAGTGATTCCTGCAAGCCTAATCCACCATACAAAATTGTGTCTAGACACACCACTGGGGCCTTCAGTGCTGAGGCATGCCCAGCAAGCAGGCTTCTCTGTGAAATCTTTGAGTGACCTCATGGAACTGGTTTTCTTGTCTCTTACACTGTCTGATCTCCCAGCTATCGATACGCTAAGACTCGAGTACGTCCATCAAGAGACTGCCACTGTATTGGGCACAGAGATTGTAGCCTTTGACGAGAAAGAAGTGAAAGGCCAGGTGCAGCATTATGTGGCCTACTGGATGGGCCGCCGAGCTCCTCAAGGTGTTGATGTGGAAGAGGCGTGGAAGTGTCGGACCTGTGACTATGTAGACATCTGTGAGTGGAGGAGGGGCCATGGAGTGCTCAGCCCTTCCCTGGAGCCCAAAGCCAAGAAGTTGAAATGAATGGAAGTTGTTTTCAGAAATGTTGATCGTTTCTGCTCTTAATACTCCCGTGTGAAAGGGTCGGTCTCTCAGTTGGATTTCGTGGATAAGGTTTTTATTTTTCTGTCCCCAACCTTTAATAACATTCCAATCTGGGGCCAAGATCAGGAATGAATGGAGAGATTTGGGTTATGGTTATGGCTCTGAAATGAACTGCAGAGAAGACAGATGTGTGTCGTGTCTGCAGCAAGGGTGTCCCTCACTGATCACTGTTTTCTCAAGAAAATTATTTGGGTTCTGACATTTTTTAGTTTTTTTCTTGATGCATTTTTTTTTACATTTTTCATAATAAAAATGAAATGCTCTCTAGAACGATTGAATTGATGTTTGTGTGTTTGCTGACCTCAGTCCTTTGAAGATGACCACTGTACTATACATAGTTGTGTAGTGCCACAGTCCTTTGAGATCATGTGTCAACATTTTAGAAATAGGGCTAATAGAGCAAGCAGACCACGGATTTAAAGTAAGCATAATTAGTAGTCTCAGGTGATGCGAGAAGAAATCATAGAAGTGAAAACATTAGATGAAAAATATATATGAAATAACAGTATTCATATATTATACAATCTAGCAGTATCATTCCTGGGCATATGTCAAGGAAAAGTCATATGTATGCAACAGAAAATATGAAAAAATACTTTCACAAATACAGAAGTCTAGAAACTATCCCAGTGTCCATCACCAGTGATTGAAGTGATATATATCAACCAGAACATGAGCCACAATGGTATGTAACATTATGCATGAATCTAGCAACACTAGGTGAAAGGGTAAGTCCAAAAAGATCACATGCACTAGGACTTCCTTTTTCATATAGCAGAAAACCAACATTTTAAGGAAAATGTTCTGATAAAGTTAGATTATAGTCTGTCTCAGTAAGACAGTCACTCTAGGAGGCCAGGGCTCACAGCCTGAAGACAGGAGACCTCATCCCCTCCTGGAGTAGACAGGCCACTGCTGGAAGGATTAACACAGGTTGGGGTGGGGAGAGCAAACCCTAGCTAGACAAAGGGGAACTAGCTATGCTTTCCCTGACATTAAATTATGGTATGGCTCCAGGTGAATTTAAACTACATAGTTTCCATAGCTGGTAAAGACGTATTACCTTATAGCCCCACCCACTAGGAAAATGCTGTAAACATAAGCTCTGCCTTTGTTCCCCGGAAATGCACACATCTTTCCTGTCAGCTGACACTGGCAGTCTCTGGGTGGCCAGAATAAAGAACCTACTTCCACCTGGAATTTGCCTATCCCCTGTCTAAAGAACCTGCTCTTTCTTCAGGGTGCCTTGAACACCATTTGTCTATTTAAAGGGGACACATTTTCAGTGTACCATAAAACAGGGGAACCCTTATCTCAAACATCACCAAAGAAGCAGGAGAAACAAACTGAATGGCTATCACCTGGGAATTAAGGATATGATAGAGACAATGTTGGAGAATTTGTAAAAGTTGATGGATGGTGTGTGTGTGTTCAATTCCTCATACCTACATAGTGGAAAGAACCAATTTCTCATACCTACATAGTGGAAAGAGAAATGTTCTGATCTCCTCACACACTAGATGAATGTAAGTTTTTTGTTTTGTTTTTAAAGATTAACCAGGGGGCTGGAGAGATGGCTCAGAGGTTAAGAGCACTGACTGCTCTTCCAGAGGTCCTGAGTTCAATTCCCAACAACCACATGGTGGCTCATAACCATCTGTAGTGAGATCTGGTGCCCTCTTCTGGTATGCAGTCATACATATAGTCAGAACACTATATACATAATAAAGAAATAAATATTTTTAAAAAAGACTAACTGTAGGGCCTGGGTCTGCCCTGCTCCTGGGGTTCATTTTGAGGACAGTTTCTGATCAGCCAACTAAAGCATTCTGTTTGTTCCTGTGCTCCCTCTGCCCCGCCTGGTGATTAGCATGGCAGCGTGCAGGCAGATGTGGTGCTGGAGCTGAGCAGTAGCAGGAAGTTGACTGATAGTCACACTGAAGAAAGCTTGAACAAAAGAGACCTCAAAGCCTGCCAACACAGTGACACACTTCCTCTAACAAGGACATACCTCCTAATAGTGTCACTCCCTTTGGGGGTTATTTTCTTTCAAACCACCACAGTGACTAACTTGGTTTCTATATTCTCCAGTCCACTTCCTGAGGTTTCCACTAAGAGTTTTAATTGCAGATTCGTCTTTGGAAGCATTTTCTCATTCTTAGAGCTCCCCTATCTCTGGACAGGGAAGAGACTCGGACTATGGAGTGTAGTGAGTGTCCCTCTAGCCATATCTTCACTGTCATCCATGTATCCACACAGGAAAGAAACTTCTGGTGTGTGAGGAGTGTGGCCAGGGCTTCAGTCAGAGTTCCAGGCTCCATGCCGGCAGTGTCCACACTGGACAGAAACTTGTGTGTGACCTGTGACTGAAGCTTCAATCACAATACCAACTCGGAGTTCACACAAAAACTATTCTGCCAGAGTTCTAATTCTGCAGTTCATCAGAATCTACAGAAGAGAGAAACGGTGGTGGCGAAGTGCTAAGTGTGGCAAGGACTTCAGTCAGTTACGATTGCCATGTGCACCAGAGCTGTTGAAACATAGACCTCCATGCTCATCACCCAAGTCCACAGGAGAGAGGCTTCAGGTGTGAGGGTGTTGGGAGGGGGAGTGGAGCTGGAGAGACTCCACAGCGTGATGTAGAGTAAGGGCTGCGGTCAAGGCACGACTCTGAGACTATGAAAGAAAAACCCATTCAATGCCACTGCAGCAGTAAAGGTTTCCATTGCTAGAACCTTTGTGTGACCACAGTCCACCCGGAGGAGAATGTCTGAGAAGTGACCACTGGTTATCACTTCCATCCATTCCACACGGGAGGAAGAAACATATGAAGCATGTGGTAAGGACTGCGTTGGAGCACACAGCACCCTCTCCAGCTGAGCTTTGGTACCTCCCGGAGACTGAGCTCTGTGGAAACGGCTTTGTGTACTCTGCCCACTTGTGGTGACTATGTGCTGAGTGGGAATCTGCCTGTGAGAGACCCCTGCTACCAGCTTGATGTGTGTGGAGGTCTCCATAGTCTGCACTTGCTATGTACGTACACTTGCAACCGTGCATGCGGAGGTCAGAGGACAACTTGAGGGAGCGTGTTCTCTCCTCCCACCACATGGGTCCAAGGATGGAATCCAGGGCCAGCAGGCGTGGCACAAGCACCTTTACCCACTGAACCATCTTGCTGGTCCCATGCTTTGGAATCTTAATCATCTATTGTGCCATAAAGATTCAGTCAGGTCATAAGTTTCATCCTGAATTATCCCTGCAGGAGAGGAGTCCTACTATGTTGATAAATAGAATAATGAGCTAGTTGGGTGTATATTCAAATCAATAAGTGGTACAATAAATTGAAAGTCCATGTCTAGGCCAGAGAGATAGTCAGTGTTGAATAGTGGTTAAAAGTGTTTTCTACTCTTGTAAAACACCCAAGTTCGGTTCCCAGAACCCTAAAGTGTTCACAGTGGCCTGTAAAACCAGTTCCAGGGAATCCCATGCTTTCTTTTTACCTCCAAGGGCTTCTGCACACAAGTGGTGTACATATTCTCAGGAACACACACATATACATAAAATTTAAGAACACACAGAATAAAGTTTGTCTCCAACACAAAGCAGTCCACAGCACCTGAAACTGTTGTCTGTGAAATATGTTTTAGAAAAATTTTCCAGGTGTATTGGTACAAGTTTGAGGCCAGCTTGGGTTACATAATGAGTACCAGGTTAGCCAGAGCTATAGTGTGAGACCTTGTCACCAAACAAACGGAAAACAAAACAAAACATGAAGAGGGCTGGTGAGATAGCTCAGTAGGTAAAGGTGACTGCCTCACAAACCTGATGAGCTGAGTTCAAACCCTAGGACCCACAGAAAAGGGGAAGGAATCAACTCCGTAAAGCTGTCCTCTGACTTCCACACACTCATGGCATGTACTTACACACCCTCACACATGCACCGATAATAATTTTTATTTTTATGTACACCGTATGCCTTTCTTTGTGAGAGTGTCAGATCCCCTGGAACTGGAGTTACATACAGTTGTGAGCTGCCATGTGGATTCTGGGAATTGAACTTGGACCCTCTGGAAGAGCAGCCAGTGCTCTTAACTGTTGAGTCATCACTCCAGCCCCCAGTAACACATTTTTTTTTGTTTTTATTTTTTTGAGAATAATAACTTTTTTAAAGAATAAAACACAAAACAACAGATACAGCCAAAGTCTTTTACCCTGTCTTTTTATTATCTGTGCTTAGAGGCAACCATTATTCTTAAGCTGTTGTATGTGCCTGTGTATGATTCTATATTTCTATCACCTATCTGTCCGCAGTGTTTACATGGCACATCAGTCATATTGTATGTGATTTTTTTTTTTCTGCAGTTGAATTTATCATTGAACAGTTTTTTTGGTTTTTTGTCAGATTTTTAGTATTACTGCCTGAGGACTAGTTTATTGATTTTGTTGTTGTTGTTGCTTTGTTTTCTAAGACAGAGTTTCTCTGTGCAACAGCCCTGGCTGTCCTGAAACTCTCTTTGTAGACCAGGCTGGCCTCAAACTCACAGAGATCCACCTACCTCTGCCTCCCAAGTGCTGGGATTAAAGGTGTAAACCATCGTTGATTTTTTAAACTTCTGTCATGTCCTAAGATAGCAAACTCTTCCCTCTTCTTCTTTTTTGCTGCTGGGAATGGGACCAGGGTCTTGGGCAAGTGCTTTCCCATTAAACTGGGCCCCAGTCTATTATTATTAGTATTAGTATTTTATTCATTTAGTATTTTTAAGATAGAGTCTCACTGTGTCGCCCAGGTTAGTCTTGAACTTGCAGCATTCCTCCTGCCTCTTCCTCCCTTACATGCTGAGCTATCTCACTGCTCCCATTTTCCCCCTGAGGTATAGTTTTGGTATCTATCCTAGACTGCGCACCTTGAACCCAAGGTCATCTTGCCTCAGCCTCCTGTGCCACCATGACTGACTTTGAAAATTAATTTCTCCATTACTCTTTATCTTAGTTAGTTTTTTGTTGCTGTGATAAACACCATGACCAAGAGCAACCTGGGGAGGAAAGGGTTTGTTTCATTTTATAGCTTGTAGTTCATCATCCAAGGAAGTCAGGGCAGGAACTCAAGGCACAAACCTGGAGGCAGGGACTGAAGCAGAGGCCATGGAGGGTGCTGCTTACTGAATTGCTTCTCATGGTTTACTCAGCCTGCTTTCTTATAACCCAAGACCACCAGCCCAGGGGTGACACAGTTCACAGTGATCTGGGCCCTCCCACATCAATCATCAATC